TTGAACCCTTGATATGGTCAAAATGAGTCCCCTCCAAAAACAAATCTTGACCATTCATTTTGTGAATTTCAAGATCTTAGCCTTTATAAACTCAAAATCATTTTTTTTCTTCTTAAACATTGTTCATCTAATGATAATAAAGCCAATCAAAAAAATTGAAAATGAAAAAATCTTTTTAAGGCCTAGATCTAAGCATCTCACCAAAATGAACGGCCTATGTTAATTGGCCTAAAACACTACTTTCTAGGTTGTGTTTTCAATTTTTTCTTTTTTGTGATTTGTTCATTAGAAAGAAAAGAGTGTACATTTCAAAATTTGGATCAAACAAATGCCCATAAGATGGTTTTTTAAGGTTGTTGTATCATGTTACCATACAATAGTTGCAAGAAATCATTGGCCATACCTTTTTTTACATTTTCCCCTGCTTTGGGATTAAATCTGAATTAAACCACGTCACAAATTGATATTTTTGAAAGACATTGTCTATAAAGAGACCATTTATATTTTGTACATGGAGGTCACAATCATTCGCACTTATTAGAAGTCAACTTGGATAGCTTGGGGTGAATCACAAAGTTCGAAAATTATTTTTTTTTTAATTTTGTGTCTTTTTAAGAACAATTTTATAACCACCCATTTTGAAATTTAAGGGGAAAAAAGCACCTTTTTTTAATATGATTTACATATGTTTTGCTTAACTTTAATTTAAACATAATCCTTATATTTATATATTGTTTTATGTGTATAATTTTTGTAACACTTTTTGGTATGTCCAGACCCTACCCAGCTCAGGCTGAGTAGAACTCGGCCCTAGTTACTTGGCTATTGGGTCTCAAGCCATGGCCGAGTTCCGTTCCCCATTTGTGGTGTCCAACACAGCGTGGAATTGTGTCGAAGGCTATGAGAGCACACAAAATGCACCCGTGAGAATGCAAAAATGTTTTTGGTAAATTGAGAGAGTGCAATGTTAAAAAGCCGGAATAGCAGGCGCTACAAATCCACAACCCATGTTCGCAAAACCGGCTAGGTTGTCTTGGACCCGGTCGGTTACTTGGGAACCAGCCACTGGCCATAGCTGGTTTTGGACTGTTAGGGGGTGAACCGACTTGACCACCCTAAATTAAAAGCAAAAAACTAAAACTAAGAAAAAAAAAAAAGTTTTAGTGGGCGTTTTTAATGATTTCTATTGTTTTAAAAAATATTGGGAAGTATTTAGGTTATAAATACTAATTTTTTATTTTTTTTAATCTTCTATTATTATTTCTAAAGCACCTTTGGGCACGAATTATTATTTAAAATCCATTTTCCACGACGTTTTTTATTTTATTTGGATGAATTTTATTTAATTATACTTTAAAAATATTTTGGTTTTTTTTATTATTATTATTATTATTATTATTTTTATTATTATTATTATTATTATTATTATTTATGAGATTTTGATATTTTTAATACTTTAAACATACTCCGGGATTGCCTCGGAGTATCTTTGGGAGTCTCCGCACCATCTCCTACGTTTGGGCCACACAACAATAGAAAACACTTTTTTACATTTTTTTGTTAATGCCTTTTACATTAATGCTTTCTAACGTGATACGGAGTGGGCATTTTGTAGGGTTTCAACTTCCTAATGAAGGTCCTTGTGTCTCCCACCTCCAGTATGCAGATGATACTTGTTGTTTTGTGGAGCACTCAAAGACCAGGTCTCTAATATTGATATTTTCCTGAAGTGTTGTGAAATAGCTTTGGGGTTAAAGGTAAATTTTGGAAAAACAAGCATGGTGGGCCTTAATTGCTCATAGGAAGAGGTTGCTTTACTAGCTCAAGAGTTTGGGTGTAAAGTTGAGTATTTCCCTATCATATATTTGGGAATGCCTTTATCTGATGGTAGATTTCCCATAGCGGTATGGGATAAAATAATACAGCGTATCCAAATCAAGTTAGATCTATGGAAATTCAAATATTTGTCTTTTGAGGGGAGGATTACACTTATTAAGGCATGTCCGTCGAATTTGCCCATTTACCAAATATCTATCCTTCATATTCCTACTTCGGTTGCTAGGACAATTGAAAGCATAATGAGGAACTTTCTATGGGGTTCGTCGGTAGAAAAGAAAAAGTTCCACCTTCTTCGTTGGGATAGGGTATGTAGGGTCTAGGCATAAGAAATGTTAAATTGGTCAATCAGGCTCTTCTATGCAAATGGTGCTGGAGGAGTTTGACTCTTAAAAACCACCTGTGTTATCAAGTGGTTGCTTCAAATTATGGTATGGATAGATTTGGGATGTGGGTTGGTAATTGGAGAGGAGGTACATGATTGTTGGCTTGTTGGAAGGCTCTACAGTCATGTAAAGGCTTTATTCAAAGGGACATTAGGTGGTGTGTAGGTAATGGCAAAAAGATCTCCTATTGGTACCACGAATGGGTTGGGGATTGCTTTCTAAAATTACTTTTCCCACTCGTTTTTCAAAAGATAGCAAACCAAGAAGCAACTATTTCAGAGTATGTTGTGCGCAGGGCTGATTACCCAGTTTGGAATCTCAACTTCCCTTATAATAGGATTTCGGATTTACTCCTGTCTCAGTATGCTTATCTAGTACATTCCTAAGGATGTGGATGCTTTTGATGAGGTGGTTTGGGAAATTGTCAAAAATGGGATTTACTCGGTCAAATCCATGTAATACTTGTTGTTCAATGATAGAGTTAGGTAGTCCTTGCCGGTACTTGCCTGTTTGTGGAAGTGGCCTTTACCTCCTAAAGTACAAGGGTTCTTGTGGTTGGCAGCCCAAGATAGAGTGCTAACTATAGACAACCTTATAAAGCGAGGAAAATTTTTAACTAATATTTGTTTGATGTGTAAAGAGGATGGGGAATCTGAAGACCATATTTTCCTTCATTGTCCTTTTGTTTTACGTATCTGGACGTGGTTTTTTGGTAAGCTAGGGGTGGCTTTAGTCATTCACGGCCTTACGGTTGTTCTTCCAAAAATTGGGCTTATGGTGTGGCAAATATCACGAGGCATCATGCTTTGGGAGATTTGGAAAGAGAGAAATAGGAGAGTTTCTTAGGTGTTTGTTTGCCATTTGGAAAAATGCTCGATAGAATCCTACATGCGAGATGGCTTTATTTTACGTTATTCCGTGTGGTAAGGGTATCACTGAAGTAGATGTCAGGGGAAACTTGAACAATAATTTAGATGTCAGGGGAAACTTGAACAATAATTTCCATTTGCATATTTATAAATGCCGGGTTATGGGCAGATGGATGGCTCTACCAGCAAGGGTGTACAAACTTAATTTCAATGGTTGTTCGAGAGGCAACCCGAGACAAGCAGGTTTTGGAGGTGTGCTACGAGACTAGTTGGGTAACGTGATTTTCTCGTATGCGGGGCCACTTGGGGTTAGAACAAAATGTATAAATCCTATTTGGGTTGCACATTATAGTGGAGAGGAAGCTAGGCACTGAGTTCATCATTGAGGGTGATTCTCTTAATGTGATTTTGTGGTGCAAAAAGGAACAACTGCCTCCATGGGACTTCAAAACCTTTTTGTTGCAGATTTTGGATCTATCCTCCTTCCTTTCTATTTCTTTGGTTCATATCTACAGGGTGGCTAATGTTTTGGCAGATTATCTTACCAAAAGGTGTTATTCCTTTCTTGTTGTTTCTATCTCGGACTCTGTAATTACATTTTAGTTCAATAAAGTTTTAGAATTTCTATCCAAAAAATAAAAAATAAAAAATAAAAAATAAGAAGGACCAAAGGAGGTCCTGTTTCATTATTGCTTTGTGCATTCTTTGGGAGGGGTCTGTCATTCATTTATATTAAAAGATTTCTTTCCCGCGGGAGCATATGCTGCATTTACTCCCTCAGCACAACGCCAGCATGGAATATTGTTTTTTGGCTCTAAATTTTAAAAGTTTAACATCTACTACTTAATGACCAATCTCAAAATTTTGAATTACCTATGTGCCTCAAAAAATATTTCCAGAGATCGAACACGAATCGTCTAATTTTTCGATGGCAAGATCAAGTCAAGAACTCAAAATCCAAATTTTTATTTTCAAAATAATCATGTGGGCATCCCAAATTATTTAAAAAAAAATCCTCCCAACTCATTATTTGGCCCCGAACTATTCGCGCTAGAGCATGCTGTACTCTTTAATTGTTTGCTTTCGCTCCCCGTGGAATACTCATCGCGACAGCACTTTCGGCGTGTCAAAATATCATTACCCAAATGTATGAATAACAGATAATGTGGAGCAGGTGCAGCGAATTGGGATTTTATGTTGTCGTAAAAATACGGTTTTTAAGACAAGTTAACATAATAAAAATAAATAAAAGAAACAAAACAATAAACAGAAGAAGAAGAGAAAAATGAAGAAATAATACCAAATTTGGCCAGATGGCCTGAGATTCTCAAGCCTTTAAGGGCTCACCCATATCCCAACCGGTCCTTTTTGCCTCTCTGATTTGGATGTTGATCTCTGATGTGAATGGTTAGATCAAGGGTTGTGCTGCCCTAATTCTAGTTTTGATCTAGATTTTTTGTGACCTAAGTCTAAGTTTTCTTGGGGGTTAAGACTTTATGAGGCTAGGGTTTTTATGTTCTCTAATGTTTTCAATCTAGAGATTTTTCTAAAGTTGTCGGTCTTTTTCGGGGTCTGAAAGAAAATTTCCTTAGTTTTCTAAAAGTTTTGTAATATCGAGAGGTTGAATATGAATTATAATATTTTTTCTAATTTTTTGGGATTTTTTTCTAAATTTTTAGAAATTTTTTAAGGGTTTTTTCTAGTTTTGATATTTTAGGATAATTTTTTCAATTTTGAAAAATTGTAAGGTTTTTTATGCTCTATTTTTCTCCTTCTTTTTTAGGTTAGGGAGATGGGTATTTATAAGATTCAATTGGTGATTTTTCTTAAATTTTTTTTGGAATTTTTTAGAAATATGTTGAAGTTTTAGCCTTATCTAATTAAAGAAAACTAGTTTATGCATTATCAGATGCGTTGACTTTGTCATCAATATGCGTTTGGGCCTGTCGGGCCCGTTACAGCCCGGCTTGCAGCCTGACAATTGGATCTCACAGGGACTAGATTGTCATTTGTTATATCTTTTTATCCGTAGGTCCAATTCACATGATTCTTGGACCGTTGAAAAGCTCTTGGGCTCTACTTCAATGTGGGATAGATTTGGGTAGTTTTGGGGTAATTAAATTGGATCTACTAAGACAATGTGATCTTAAAAGTTCAAAAAACCATAGAATTTGTCAGATTTAAAATGGGTGTCTACAAGTCTCTTTCTAAAAAAATTTAGCTACTTTCTCATTCTAAAATTCGATATAGTTATTCTCTCTAAAATTTTAAGATGCTTTCTCTATTTAAAACTTAAATTTTGATATAGTTTCTCTCTTTAAAAAAATTTAGACAGTTTCTCTCTCTCTAAAATTTTAATATAATTTCTCTCTGAAACTTAAAATTTGATATGGTTTCTCTATCTAAAATTTGGGAAATATTTTTTTAAAGGTCAATCAACCCATTTTTTTTTTCTTTTTTTTTTTTTCAAATTTCCCCTCGGTCAACCGAAATTTTGATTTTTTTTTTTTTAATATTTTCTTTTAGTCATTTCGTTAGTAGGGCAGTGCCCTAAGGTTTAAGCCACTGCCTTACTAACGAGAAAACTAAAAAAAAAAAGCCCAAAAAAAAAATTAAATTGCAAGTTACACGTAAAATAAATAACACATGTATACAAGACTATATACTATAAAATCATTTAGGTATGATTTAAGAAGGTCCCAAACATGTCATAAGATGTGAAATAGAGTGGCTAGGGATGAGTACTTTTTGTAGACAATGTTTGAGAAAATTTTCTTGAATTTTGTACACAATTAGAAGAATATCCTTGTACGAAAACTAAATGGTTCTATCAATGCACTTTCCCAAGAAAAGGTTCTTCATTGTTTACAGAAAATGTAAAATCCATCGACTAATCAGAGATGTCATCAGGTCCTAGATAACGTTTAGATAAATTGTCCTCGTAGAAGGTTAACAACTTAATGGCGCTATACTTGCAAATCATGAAGAGATAGACAATGTCTCAGGTGTACTTTGGATTGTGGAAAAGGGAATGAGAAGCACGGATAATTCACCCAAAAGTGATGCAAAGTTAAAGAAACAGGAACAGCAGACACTACAAATCAACAATGGTAATGGCCCACGTAATGAGAAATTCAAAAAATAGAGAGATAAGAGGAATTAATGAACAACTTCTGAGAAACCTCTTACGCTCAATTTCGATTATTCATAAGAGAAGAATAATTGATACAGAGTAAAACAACCACCTCTGCACTTTTATGACAAAAGCAACCCAAAAAGATAATCCTTATTCGTAATGCGCCAAAGTACCCACGAACAACTCTACTCATGAAAGACCCAAATGAAATGTAACAAGAGCAAAGCAGAATACAAATCATCGACGCTGAAAACGAACTAGGATCCCAGGTATAAGCGAGAGGGTGTGGACTATGCGTCAGGGTACGAAGCCTGGACTGCTACGCCGCATAGGTTCACTCCTCGCTTTAATTTCATGTACCCTTTATCACCCCATGTTTCGCCCCAGGAGTTCTTGATTAGCCAGTAGTCGGTGCCATCGTCGGCAGTTCCGTAGCCGATAATTGTGACAGCATGATTCATTTGGGTGCCACAATCTCCTGTGAATACCCCCTCAGAATAATGCTTAAATTCGAACCCGCTACCATCAATACCAACAGATACTGGCTGGTTGGCAACGGCAAGAAGCAATGAGTCCTCATCACCAGAAAGAATACGTTCGTAACCAGTGATTGTGCCTGCTTTAGAGGATGATTTTTGGGCATCGCATGTGCCCTGGATTGACTGGTATGGGTAGTCGGTCTCCCTGGCGAGGCCACCGTTGTTTATGATGAACCGAAATGCCTCCCCCATCAACCCGCTTATACAACCTCTGCTCACGCCACCAGTGACGCAGTCCAGCACTTCTTGCTCAGACAAAGACACTAAGTTTCCAGTCTTGATCTTTGTTATGCTCTCCACTGCAGCCACGGCCGAGAACGCCCAACAACATCCTGTGAACAAAGGCATTATCTACTCATTTATGCCAAATGATGTCCGCATAAAGTAAGAATGTATGTTTGAGAAACAGTACCGCAAGCTTCTTGGTTCTTGATTGGAGTCACCGCCCCTTTCTCCCTCCAATCTATGGTGTCCGGCGGTGCCGACAGATTGGCATGCATGAAAGGTCCCACCGGGGCCTTCTTACCGACAGCAGCATCTGCCCTCAAGCCCATGTACTGCTCCCGAAATTCATCCAGACTCAAGTCAGCAAACTTGTTGAGGCTCAGCTTGTAGGATCGCTTGTCTGCATGGACAGACTCTATCAACCTGAGGTTTTCTTTGAAGACATTGAAGCGTTTCTCCTTCTCTTCGATGCTCTCATATTCGACCCCATTGATTGCCATCCATTGGTCGAACCTTATGGACATGGTGGCTTCCTCTAGCTGGCGGGGTGCCACCAAGGGAAGCCAAAGCCCTACAAAGAACATGGCCGCACAGAGGGAAAAGGAAAGGCGTGCCATCATGTTAACTAAAGCTAGGAGAGACAGAGAGAGAATGATTGTAGTGAGTATATGTTGGAGAATGATTGTGGGGATTGGAGTGCAGGTATATATAGCGTGGCTTGAGACCCTGCCCTGCCCCATCCCGTCCCGTCCCATATGGTTTAAATTGGAATAGTCGGCCCGTGCCTCACGCTGCTGCACCGCGACACAACAATCACAATCGCTTAAACATCATTTTGTTTGTTGGCTTCGTCCTCCACTCTGTTTTTGTGCAATTGAAGCTTCAAGGTCCATGTTGGGGGACCTATTTCATTGTCATTGTGCGCATCCAGCCGCTTCCCTTTCTAAGCCGGTTCCTTGATTTCCATGATTTATATGCAATAACTTTGGTTTCGTCTGGTTGTCGGTGTTTTGGGGAGATGACTCGTCTAGAATTGATATCTCTTGGACTTAATAAATATCAAGGAGCACAACAATCACAAATCACTTTTACTTCATTTTGTTTGTGGGCTTCATTCTCCACTCTTTCTTTTTTGTGCAATGGCAGCTTCCAAGGTCTATATGGGGGACTTATTTCGTTGTCGATGTGAGCGTTCAGCCGCTTCCATGTCGAAGTTGGTTTTCGTGATTTATACAAAAGCACTTTGGTTTCATTTGGTTTTCAATGTTTTGGGGAGATGACTCTTTTAGAATTGTTATCTCGTAGAATTAATACCAAGGTGCACAACAATCACATTCACTTCTACTTCATTTTGTGTGTGAGCTTCGTTTTCCACATGTTTTTGTACCATTAAAGCTTCAAAGCTCCATATTGAGGGACTTATTTCGTTGCCATTGTGAGCTTTCAGCCGCTTCCATGTCCAATTTGGTTTCCATGATTTATACGAAATCACTTTGGTTCCATTTGGTTCTTGGTGTTTTTGGGAGATGCCTCTTCTAGAATTTGATTTCTCCTAGAATTCATGGAAAATTATAAATACATCTCAAAATTATCTTGCTAGACATCCTAATCCCAATGCTTTTTGAGAAAAATTATAGATACCTTCTAAAATTAACTTTCTAAACATCCTATCCCCCAATACCTTTTCTCTCATACCCAAAACCCCAAAACTATTTTTTCTTGTATTTATCCCTCCTTAATCAACAAGCCAAAAAAATTAAGACTAACATACCCCATTGTAAATACTTTCCTGAGCCGCTATATATATGTGTTATCCGGAGCTGTGTTTATGCGTACAGGTCTTAAATACACCACCAATAAGGCGTGCCCTCGAGGAGGGAGATCAAAAGGTCAGCCTTCTTCCCATTGAGTGTTAAAACAGATCCGAGTTCCTATTTTTTGACCCTTTTCACCCAAACCAAGCCTTCAATTTGATTGCAGCCACCCATGCTTACGCTGGCACCCTCCAGCCTGTATTTCCTAATGTACAACAACTCATTCAATTTCAACCTTGAAATAAGAAAGACAAATTTACCAGCGCATAATAAAATTACCAATTTGGTGGGATTCTCTCCCTTTGGCTCTCATGTTGCAATCAATTCAAACTCTTTCTTTCTATATATATATATGGGTATGGTTTCTATAAGGTTGCAACCTTAAACATTCCAATTAAGGTGCACCTTAAAATTTATCATAACATGTAATTTTGTTAG